GGGCGGCGTTGTGCGAGCGGCGGGGTGCAGGATGCGAGCGGCGGAGTGCGGGCGGCTCTAGCTGCGGCCTGGGGAGAGGTAGGAGGTCGACGGGCTGGGGAGGCCGGCGGCCTGCGGCCTGGGGAGAGGAGTGAGGTCGACGGGCAGGGAGAGGCAGCTCTGAATCGAAGCAGTGAGGCCGAGTGGGTGGGGAAAAGCAGGAAATTGCAATGCTTTCTCCATCTGGTGTTGATATTTGGTATTTGTCTATTGCAAATTGTTGCTTGGCCATGTCAATTTGATGTCAGATTGTGGTCTAAAATAGTTGTGCATTGGTTGCTTGCAGATGGATGGTGACCAAAGCTTCTTGGACACCATTGGTTTTGGTTACACACAAACACAACCAGATAGTCCAATTGGAGAGCAGGCAACTCCATCAACTCAGCATCGTTCTGCAATAACAGAGAAAGGAAAATCCAACAAAGGAAAAAAAAATGGTCTAGTGATGTCTCATAGCAGCATGGGCAAATACAACTTTGGATATTGTTGGGACAGATCAAAACCGAGATGCTTATTGGGATAGAATTTCAGAGTACTACAACACACACAAGGAATCATCATGGCCGGAGCGTAATGCTAATGCAATCAATTGCCGTTACACAACGATTAACAGAGAGACCTCTAAATTTTGTGGTTGCCTCCAGCAGATTTTAAATAGGCAAGAAAGTGGAAGGACTATAGAAGAAAAGGTATGCGCATTTCTTGTAATTCTATATGTGATGTGCAATATTCTATATGTGTTGTGCTTATTTTGATAACATATTTATATGTGCAGACAAACGATGCACACATTTTGTTCAAGGAAATGGATCTTAAAAAAAAGAAGCCTTTCACACTGATGCATTGCTATGTAGAGTTTTCGAAGTATCCAAAGTGGCAGACAAGAGAAGTTGAAACTTCTCTTAAGAAACAAAAAAAGACCATTGATGCAAGTCCGGGCACAGCCACCAATGATCTGGGTGATGCATCCTCGATACGTACTGATGCTACCTCGATACGCACTGATGCTCTTGAACATGAGAAAAGACCTGATGGTGTGAAGAAGGATAAGAGAGGTAAAGCTGATGACAGTGCTTGCAAACTGTCATTAGAAACTGTGTGGGCAGCAAAGCTAGAGAAGGATGAGATCAAAGAGGCGGCAAGAAATGCTCGCTACGCACAGCAATTGGAATTGCGAAAAGAGGAGATTGCACTCAAAAAGAATGAAGATGCACGAAATGGGAGGGAGGAGGAGATTGCACTCAAAAAGAATGAAGATGCACGAAATGAGAGGGAGGATGCACGGAGACAGTTTGAATTAGATGAGAGGGTCATGCTCATCGACACTAGTGGTATGACTAATGTGCTAAAGCAGTTCTACCAAGATAAGCAGAAGGAGATCCTTGCTCGCGGCTTAGGGTAATGTGAGCTATATGTTGTAGTTGTAAGAACTATTTACTGCTTTCTGCTAGTTGAGGACATGGATTACATCACTCATTGCATAAATATTTTTTTTGATAGCTGCATTACAAAGACATGGATTACATCACTCATTGCATAAATTAAAATTACATGAAAAGAAATGGATTAAAAACTTATAACTAGGACATCACCCGTTTCCAAACTTTTGCCACACATGGTCAATTAGATCAAGTTTAAGCTGACCATGTTCATCGAAATTTCTAATCCGGCGAGTCATCTGAATAAAAGAGCTCAGTTCTTCCGCATGAGTACGAGAGACTGTGACTCTTTCTCCCATTGCCTCAAAAGTGCAGCTTTGCCGACCAGTTTGTCGCTCCTCTTCAACTATCATATTGTGCATTATGACACAAGCTTTCATGACATCAGTGATTTCTTTACGTTTTCATCCTTTAGCAGGTCCACGAACAATGGCAAAACGGGATTGCAGAACTCCAAAGGCTCGTTCCACATCTTTCCTAGCCCCCTCTTGCTTCTTGGCAAAAGTTTTATGCTTTCTGCTAGTTGGACCTGGTATGCTCTTCACAAATGTTGCCTACCGTGGATAGATACCATCTGCAAGGTAATACCCCATTGTGTACTGATGGCCATTGATGCTATAATTCACTGGAGGAGTTTGGCCTTCGGCTAGCTTTGTAAAAACAGGAGAACGTTGAAGAACATTTATCTCATTCAGAGACCCTGGTAAACCAAAATAAGCATGCCAAATCCAAAGATCTTGTGAAGCAACTGCTTCCAAGATCATAGTGGGCTCGCTCACATGGCCTTTAAACATGCCATGCCATTTTTTGGGGCAATTTTTCCACCCCCAGTGCATGCAATCTATGCTCCCTAACATACCGGGAAATCCTCTTTCCTCCCCTATTGTAAGTAACCTAGCAATGTCTTCTTCATTTGGAGATCTCAGGTACTTTTCCCCAAAAACTTCACAAACTTTGATCACAAATTTCTTGCAAGACTCTAAATTAGTAGACTCAACGGACCGGATGTACTCATCAACACCATCAGCTGCTATTCCATATGTTAGCATACGCATTGCCGCAATCATCTTTTGCATAGGATGTAAACCAAGAGCTCCAGAAGCACTTCTTTTTTGCGTAAAAAACCCATCATAGTCATGCTCAAGTATACCATCAGCTATGCGGTTGAACAAAGTACGCGACATCCTAAATCTGTGCATAAAAAGTAAATGAGACAGGGAAATGAAAAAATGACCAAAGCAGAGAAGTGTACTAATTATGAACCTTCGTCGAAACAAATGTTCGGGAAAGCGAGGAATCTCTTTGAAGTAGTCGTCCCACAGAAGAATAAATCCGGCATCTCTTCCTCGATCGATTGACTGACGTCCATGCTTGGAACCGCCATGGTGTCAAGCGTTCTTCCTCTCTTCCTCCTCGCGCTCG